AATCAGTAATCGAAAGAAAATATTTTATGCAAATAAAAGAGAAGCTTTACTAATTTTAGGAGAGAACATTCTCCCCACTAAGTTGACATATCAATAACAAAATCCCCATGAGAAGTTTGCTCTCATCGAAAGGATGATAAAAAAGAATGTCCCGTGTGGTTTGTACAAGGTCGCAACCTTAAACAATCAAAGTGAGGCGTATCTTTAAATTGATTATTATATTTAATTTTGATATTAAAAAAGTTTTAGGATGATTTGAGAATCCTTTTTCATCTCTAATGATAAAATTTTAAACTCTAAAAGTGGTTCAAATCAAGTAGTGTTGAGAATTGATGTCTTCTATTATGAGGAAATAGATCTCCAAGGTGGAGTCAAAAAGATGACTTGGGAGGACTGTTAAAAGCCCGAAGGGCTGAAGGCCCATACGGCTTGAGGCTAGGAGGAGTTGTCCTGACATGTGACTTGACGGACTCGACTCATGCAGGGTTTGGGGGCTGCAGCCCCCGAGAAAAAAATTTGGATATATCCGTACATGGGATTCGATATATCTGGGACTTAATATATATATGTATAAGGGAATTTCGGTAATTTATACCATCTATCTGAGATTCGATATATATTGCTGCATTGAGATTGGGGGTTCATCAAGGCTTAAGGGAAAAATACAGATGGCTTTGTAATCAGAGAGGCGTGAGAAAGAGAGCTCTTGTAGACTTGATATATATTGTTGCGTTGCGATTGGGGGTTTATAAAGGGTTAAGGAAAAAATGCAGATGGCTTTGTAATCAGAGAAACGTGAGGAAGAGAGCTCTTGTAACCTTATTCTCTATTGCCAGTAAAGAAGTTCTCATCTCCTGTTCACATAGGCACGTTCCCGAACCACGTATATCATTACGTTGCGTTCTGGTTGGTTGTGGTTGTCTCTTTATTTTGTGTTTGTTTCTTGTTGGTTGTGGTTATCTCTTTATTTTGTATTTGTTTCTTGTTGGTTGTGATTGTCTATTTCTTTTGTGTTTTTCTTCTTTCTAGTTTTCGTAGATTGCTTTTCGTTTCTTCAAGTAGCTCTATAAATACATAAAAATATTGAAAATGGACGGTCCAGATAATATATTACAAGATGCACTAACTTTTGGATTCAATTTTTTTTTTATTCATACATTTTGATGTCGAGATGATCAATTAGTGGGTTTTCTAACATCAAATTAGCTTTTTGCAATGGTTTTTTAAGTGCATCTTAATTTTACATGAGTAAAACACATGCTATTTTTCTCTATTTTATCTCCTAAAATAGATCGAAAAAACTCATTTTAATGAAAAGTACCCATGCAAAATTTTAGACAATAACGTAGTACCTACCTACAATAAACTAACACCACACAAGGCGCACAAGACATGATACACGACACCCTATAAGATCCACTTTTGTGGGGTGTGCTATGTTATGGTATGGTGCATGGTGTGTGTACACGGTGTTGTGTATTTGTATGGTGGGCAGGTATGATGCGTGTTGTAGAGCAAGGTGTATATTGAAGGTGGGCAAGGTATGACATTGTCTGATTTATAATAATATTTGGTGGGTAGTGTATACCAAGTATTGTGGGGTGTGGTGTACTGGTAGTGTCCGACAAGATTGTGTGCAAGAGCAGCAAGATAAGGTGTTGTGTATGGTGTAGTGTGAGAAAAACGTGCTATACGAGGAGTTGTGAGCAGTGATTATCAAATGTGAGGGGGTGTTGTGCATGGTGGATACTGTAGAATAAGGCGTTGGGCCATACAGTGCCCACCAAACTACCCACTATACACGTTACCTTGTCATACAATGTCACCAAACTCGAACTGCTTGTCATAAAATACATGCTATACACAATACCTTCTTGTGAGAGATATAGACGATGGAGTTTTAACTAGTGTACGAACAATTAGTGGAGCGATGAGTGACTGATAGAAGCAACCCTAAAGAAAAATAAAAATCTAAAAATAGTAAAAAAAGAACCATCGCATCGAGTCCTTAAAACAACAATCAATGTTAGAAACCTAATCTTGGCCTTTAGTCACCTTAATAGGTCAAGATTCAAAATGATAACAATATGCCATTTGTATGGTTAAATGGATCATTAGACATGTTTAATTTAATTTAATTATAAGCACCCATTCTCAAAAGATCCATATAATGGATAAGTCTAGTAATGAGGCAGAGCTATGGTGTCTCCAACTAACACAATTAGAGTGTTTTATATGCAAGAGATCTTGATAGACTCACCTATATGAGTGTGGAAGTGAGACCGCTTCTTATAAGATTAGACTTGTACCTAGAGTGCTTATAGGATCAGGATATAAGCTCAAAGCCCATGCAAGCTGCCAGTATAAAGGGTCACTGGAGAGAGTATACATTTGTGTTTTGTGCTACTGGAGTATTAGATAAGGTCTTTGGTTCAAGGCCATATACTACCACGGATCTCGATGTACTTTGTAGTGCATATACTAAACGAAGGTTCAAATTGAAAGATACCTTTATGGTATGCAAATAATATATATATTGTTTATACTTTTCATATTATTTTGTAATAAGATGAAACTGAAGTATTTTTTCTTTGAAAGAATACCTTATGTAATTTCAAAATAATATAAAGCCTTGGAAATGATATTTTTGTCTTATAATTAGAGAGAGAATTGGTGGGTGATTTATCCTACATTGAAGATGTGTAACACCTATGTGGAGACGCACAACATGGAAATGCATCACGCATGTACGTGTGTAAGGGTGCGCTAGATGGCACACTCCTACTGTTACATTCGGCGCATGAGGCACCCCTCATGCTCGCGGGTCAAGCTCATGGCTCATCTATCCTTTTGCTGCTGCCTACAATACCTCTAGTAGAATGTGGCGGTTACTTTCTCGGATCTCCAAGAGTCACCGTAGGATACCGTATTGCACGTCATCATAGTGGATGTGTCGTTCTGATAGTTGAGATTTCGTGAGGCGTAATTGTTATTTTTTTTTATACTTGAACAATAACACGTAGTAAATGAAAAAGGCGTTTTATCCCTCTATATATAGAAAATTGTTTTTTATATTTTAAAACAAATTTACATTCCAAATTTTTATAATAAAAAAGATGTAATTTCGGTTCTCTCGATCTTGCAATACTTGTACATTTGTATTGATAAGATAGTTTCCTCAATCTTCTACTCCCATTTATCCTGAGGACAAATTTATCTAGTAGAAACTTAGATGCACATTGATTCATATCATTAAGAGGCAAATATTGTCTTGAAAAAGGGATTAGAGATATTGAAATTTGTTTTGTTTCTTCCATCCTTTGTTTTTTCCCCTGTTCTACCCACCAAATCCAACATCGAATCTCTACATTCTTATTTTAAAAAAGTATACAATAAAATAATGGAAAAAGTTTATATAAGGATGCAACCTTATAATGTAGAACTACAGATGCACCTCAAAAATCTATCGGAAAAGGTAGTTTTAATGTTGAAAACCCTTTGATTGATCATCTCGACATCGAGATGTATGACCATGAAAAATAAAAAGATTTTAAGTCTCAGAAATAGTGCATTTTACAACATATTATCTACACCGTCAATTTTCGAGATTTTCATACGTTTATAGATCTATTTGATTTTAACCATTTTTAAAATTTTATAATTAGATATAAAAATAAATTTTCAGATAATCCTAAGAACATTTTACATCAAAATTATATACCATAATAAAATTTGAAGGTGCACCTTACCTCTATAGCTACTGATGCATCTGTATGCCAACTCTTGCACCCTAAAACAATTTACTTTATATGGTAAGGAGGGCAAAACCACTGTTGCCTCGTCTTCGTTCTACTATGTAAAAGGTGCGGTTTGCATGGAGGCTAGGCTCTAAACAATCAAATTAGAACCTACCTTCAAGTAGTGTTGAGAAATGTGGTATCAATATTGGAAATTTTTGTGATAGCCTTAAAATAAATTTTCCTATTTATTTTTTAAATTTTAAAGATTAAAAAATAGTGTTGATCGACATATCTATGAAAACTTGAAAATCTTGAAAATTGACATTCAAAAAATGCGTTACAAAATACACTATTTCCTAAACTTGAGATCCATTTTTTTCTCATGTCCATGCATTTTGATGTCGAGATGATCAATTTGAAGATATTTCGGCATCAAAACAACCTTTTCTAGTTCAATTTTTGAGATAGGCTCAAATTTGATTGTTTACAGCCTCGGCTCTAAACAAGCTTTTCCCCTATGTAAATAAGAGAAAACATGATGTACATTGTCGTGTACGGTATGAGGTAGACTACATTGGCACCCACCTTCCATTTCCATGATGGATGGTGGAGATAAGCCATAGATGGTGACATCGATGACTTATCTATCATCAGGAACAAACAATGCATGAAATATTGCTATGATGTATCATTATCTATCATCATATGTCATCCGTATACTTAAAATACAACTTGCTTTTTGCAATGATCTTATTACTTCTTTATCGAATAGTTTGAAGTCGGTGTAAATTTTGCTTGATGGCCATTGTCCATAGCTTAGTTTCTTGCTTGTCCTACCTTTCAGTCTTGAAACCACACTTCCTGAGTTACAATAGCAAAATTACATGACTAAAAATAATATAAAACATGACAAAAAATATTTTGAATAAAAAATTTTGACCAAATAAATTTAAGGGTTTTTATTTATTTATTTAATATATCTTTTTATTATGTTTCTTTAATTATTCTCATCAAAATAAATCCAGATCCAAAAATTCAGATAAATATCTAACTCAAATAAAAATAAAACGTACAATACAAAATTAATTTTCGACCATTAGATATGACCTTATAAAATGTCAACCAATGGAAGGGTGCTTGGGACCCTTAGTTTTTGTAAATACAACCTTTTCATTGACGCATGCATGATGAAAACTATGTACATATCCATACTTCTGCACACTAGAATACGAGATGGAAAGAATAAATTATTCATGGAAAGAATGAAAGATTATTTGTCTTCGTTGTGTTTGTTTGAATCTCATGGTGATTGACAATGCCGGTTTGGATTGGGAAAATTACATAAATGTCAATGATCTTGTCCAGCTCTCCATTTTCTTCTTAACCTTGAGCGTACGTGGTGACAAATGAAACTGACTGAATTTGAACGTTGCCATTCTTACAGGTAAACCCCACAGAGAATGAATAAACAATTGAGAGAGAGAAATGATACATAAAGAATAAAGAATTGGACCGACCATGAATCTCTGCAAATATTTGCAAGAACCATACAGTCATCATCTGAATTACTCCTCCACTGTTGGCAACAAATTCAAATTGGGGATATCCGAGCTGAGGCTTGCAACCTCTATGACCTCTTGTCAGGCCGGGCCCCACTACCATCATCTCATCCTCGGGAGGTGGCTCCTTTGCACTTAATGATCTCCATGGTGCTGCGGGTCTGTGGCCATTTGATGATCCCTGCCATCCTCTTCATGGTTTTGTCGTTGTTGATGAGGCGAACCAATGGTGGATGCTTTTGGTTTCTTGCTCGAGACTGGCACCTTGGCTGCTTTTGGTTCCTCGCTCGAGACTAGCACCTTGGCTGCTTTTGGTTCCTCGCTCGAGACTAGCACCTTGGCTGATGCTTGAGATGGACTTTGGTTATGGTAATTGGTTTGGGGCAGGCTGCAGCCTGTGCCTGTGCTGCCCTGGCCTTTGGTCTCCTGTGAAGCCCGGTTTTGCTCATACCATCCTCTCGTTCTTGGGATGTGGCCCCTTTGCGCCCAGTTATGCTCATAACATCCTCTCATCCTTGGGATGTGGCCCCCTTGTACCCGGTTTTGCTCATACCATCCTCCCGTCCTTGGGATGTGGCCCCTTTGTGCTTGATGATCTCCATGGTGCTGCGGGTCCTTGGCCATTCGATGATCCCTGCCATCCTCTTCATGGTTTTGTCGTCGTTCATGAGACAAGCCAATGATGGATGCTTTTGGTTTCTCGCTCGAGAATGGCACCTTGAGTGATGCTTGAGATGGACCTTGGTTATGGTAATTGGTTTGGGGCAGGCCGCTGCCTGTGCCTGTGCTGCCCTCGACTTTGGTCCCCTGTGAAGCCCGGTCTTGCTCATACAGGTCCAGCATCTGGTGGCTCATCTCTGTTGCAAAGCAGAAATTACATCATCAGATTTGTTTCACTTAAGTGTGAGTAAAGATATCTCCAAAACAGTTCAAAGCACAATATATGCGCATCCCCACCAATCTGATGGCCAGCCACACCGTATTTACTAGTACATGTGCAGATCCTATTTGGTCTTGAAAGTGCATCTTGCATGGTTGTCCAAGCCAAAATGAAACTACAAATAATGTTTTGGAAAGTAGACCATACTAACATTTGTATTTTAAATTGTATGCTCGCGGCTCTGAACTGCCAGTTGTCAATGACAGAGTTCATGTGTTGCTGCTCCACTCAAAGTGTGCTGAACGGTTCACCTCAACTGCTGTTAACATTGGATTGTAGAAGAGCTGCTACAAACCTATTTGAAACTCCAAGCAGATATACAAAGCTTTATGGTTTTTTGTTCAATGTCGATATCAATTTCATCATCATAAAAAATAATATGCAAAATTGATCTTGACAATTATGCTAGATACTCACCCAAAAGTGTTTCTTTCTTGGTGATTATTAGAAAAACCCAAGGAAATTATATAGACACCCAACTTATACGTGACAAGCAACCCAGCCAGTAAAATCGTTTGGAAAGGGGTTCAGTTGGGTTCTAAATGGCTGGGTAACTTGTGACATGGAAAGTTGCATGTTCGCATGATTTAATTGGGTTTTCCAACCATTCCCTTTTTCCTTTTCTTGTTGGGAATGTTAGCTTTGGGATTTAATTCTTGGATGTTGGGAGTGAGGGCCTAAAACTCCTAGTTGTAAGTAATCTGAAAGTGAGTGTATGGCTACAGGTGCATCCACAAAAGTCAAGAAACGAACTCAAAACACTATTACAACAAAGGTCTGGACAATGCATCAGATTTCCGATACCCATTTTTCATATTAATAGCCTTCCCAAAATAGCGAGTCACAATCATATCAATCTTCTGGCATCTTTCCATTTTAAATCTCAAAAGCAGAAAAAGAAATCTCAAAAGCAGAGAAAGAATAAATACAGGCATTACTTCACCTTTTTCCTTAAATATGCTCATCGCATGAAAAAACAAACCTATTAATTGTCGTGGGGTTACATCAAATTCTTGCCACCAGACCACCTCGCCATCAGTAGGCAGCTCCACTTGAACAAACTTAGCAGCAAGGAAGATAGCTCCAGCAGCAATGTGATGGGATTTGAATTGCAGGAATAGTGATGTCCTCAGCCTGCATACCTTCCTATGAGGTAAAGAGATGCACAGAGAGAGAGAGAGAGAGAGAGAGAGAGAGAGAGAGAGAGAGAGAGAGAGAGAGAGAGAGAGA